AGGCATTTGGATAATAACGATTACTCAGTGGTTAAAATTGTGTCAATTAGAAAGCCGGATGAATACTTGCCACTGTGGACTCCAAACAAAGTCCAAAGGGAGAAAGAAACATAGGGTTGACACACAATGGTGCTAATTGTGCAACTCAGATTGGGTGCCTATGCTATCCTAGATGCTGAAGACGAAAATTGTCTTTTGGTGAGCACATAAGCGAATTAGAGTGATTGTTAATATCAAATGTGTGTGTGTGTGTGGATCGACCATCCAATCGGCAAGGATATCCAACATCAACCCTAACGTTGACTGAATGATTGTTCGGGTAGCCGACGGACTATCCGACAAGGAGTTTAACCCATTCATTTTGGGTGGGTTCAACATGGACCCAATGGCTGTGTTGAATTCCATCAACGAAGAGAACAAAACCCTGGAGAGAGATGATCCTCCCAACGAGGAGACCCAATCCGATGCCGAGGGAATGTCCAAGGAAAACGTAAAAAAATACAAATTCGATCTTTTGAATTATTATTTTGATGAACATACAGATAAAAATACCTGAGTACATTATAGCACTTGTAGACATTGTAAAGAAGTACTCCTTTCATCCTAAATTAAATTGTCCGCTTACGATTCACAAGATCAAACTTTATCCACTTTCTTTCCATATTTTCGTTAGTCATTTGATAAAATAATATAATAATGTCACAACTAGTTTTTAAGTTCTCTTGATATTGTTTTTTAATATGTAATTTTTATTTTTTTAATTCTACACTGTTTTCATATAAAATAATTTGAAAATAACTTCAGTCAAATATCGTAAACCAAAATAGATGAATTAAATTGGGACGGAGGGAGTAATAAACTTCCCAAAGACATGCCTATTTGTTGGAATATTACATATAAATTAATCCATGCAATTTGGAGATATAAGGTTGAGCTAAGTTATTTTCGGAAATATCGTTGCAATTATATTGTTGTGGAAATGCTAGTCACAAACAAACATTTCACAAACTTGCTTTTTGTGGATTTTAAATTAAAATATCTTTTATTACTTGAGTACACCTTATTTCTAACAAAATATTGAAAAGACAAGTTTGTGAATTTTGTGAACTGTTTGTTTGTGACTCTAGCATTATTCATATTGTTGAGATGTATGAATTTAATTAGATGAAAAACCTTGCAAATGTGTTGAAAGTGTTTGATGATGCTACTTTATCATTTTCGTAAGTGTATAAGTCTACTAGTAACATGTTTTTGTATGAGTGTATTGATATTGCTACTTGTTTTAAGGAAACTTAAGATGATTTTGATTGTTATAATGGAATTGAATATCTAGTACTATAATTTTAAATAGTACAGTACACTGTTATAAGGAAAGAAAGAGGATGAAGTGTGATCCTGTGAAGTTCTTTCCTATCGTTAACATAATTCTATAGTTGTTTTTCGGATGACTTTGGCTGTTATAACAGAATTGAATATCAAGTTAGCACTATAATTTTAAATAGTACATTGCTATTCAACACTATATATACGGAATTTCAAAGTATTTACGACAACGATTTGAATTCCGATGAGACTGAGGCTGCTCCTTCAGTAAAAAGAAAAAGGTATTTCAAAGTGTGTTATAGATAATTTACGCCTTAAAAAAGAAATCAAATCATACCACTCGACTCAAAGCTCGCTTAAAGAGCTTTCTTAGTAACTAACAATTTCTTGTGAGTATGATGAAAATATAAAGTTTGACATGCTTGAATGGTGGAAAGCTCAACATCTTTTGTTCCCTATCATGGCCACGTTTGTGAAACAAATCCTTTCAATGCTTGTTCCAACCATTGCAATGGAGTAGGAGTTCAGTTCGAGCAATAATACATTGAGTGACTACCGTACCAACTACCAACTGAGTGTCTGATCACTAAGAAGTTTGTTTGCAATCGAGATTGGTTATGAGCCCGACGTTGATGTTAAGAAGCAAGTTACACTGTTGATCAAGAACACTTCATGGATGCAACAACAAGAGAGGGAAGCGACGAAGTTCCAATTAATATATTTCATCCATTTTTTTAAAAAACAATTATCTAATTTCACTTTATATTTAACATTGTAAATTCAAAAGTATAAACTATCAAGTATCAACTTACATATTTAATATTTTTAAGATTTGAAAATTTTATTTTACTTGGTTACTTCATTTTTACCCTTTTACATTTCTTTATAAATGTTACACTATTAAAAACTAAAATACAACATTAAAACACTCCCTCCGTCTCATTCGAATCTTTCCAATCCGCATCATGATACTTGACCAACTTTATTCTCAATTCCATTTATTTGATTGTAGGTATAAAATTAAAAGATACTCCGTAAAAATTGTCTATTAAAAACTTATCATAAAATCTACAAAACTAAAAGTGACATTATTATGTTATTTTATAAAATGAGTAACAAAAGTAGGAAAATAAAGTATATAAAATTTGACCCTATGAATACTGTCGTAAAGAGATTCAAGTGAGACAGAGGGAGTAAAATTTGAAAAAATACCGAACCAATATCGTGAACTGAAAGCAAACCGTGCCACCAACGACCAATAGCACCTTCCCTAATGCTACCGAGAACCGGCAATTCAAAATTTGAACCATACCAGATCGGTACCGTGCACATTACTTTTAATTGATCATTTGTTAAAATAAACATGTCACAACTTGATTTTTTTTCTAATTTTTAAATACTCCTATCTGAGAAAGAACTTCCCAGGTGAACTTTTCACAATTTCTAAAGGTAAAAAATTAAAAGTTTACCAGATTACTCTTTATTTAAGTGGGTAGAATATTGGGTAAGGTGATAGTTGTAGTATTTCAAATGTTTAATAAGGCAATAGGAAGATCTTTTTCCAGATAAAAAAAGAGCATTTGAGATGTTTCACAAAAAAGATTCATTTTACACGTTCGAAAAGAGAAAATAATTTAGGATGGAGGGACTATATTCCACAGGTCGTATGTCATTTGAGGCCAGATAGTGGAATTAGAAGTTACAGCTAACATTGTTGACCCAAGTCTGTATGTTAATTACCATGACTTCTGTACACATATTCAAAGGAAGGAGGAAAGACAGGTGTGCAAAAGGGAAGTGGGTAATTTGAAAATCAGCTCTGCTCTTTATAAGGAGTCCATATCAGTTTGCTAACGTCCACCTCCAAACCACCTCGGCCAGCAGCCTTTAGATGGCGATCTAAGACCTTTGGGTCTGCACAGATGACGTGCTGCCCCTTGCGGTACTGAATTAGCTCCAGTGCCTGAAGGGTGCTTAGAATGTCTTCTGCCTTGATTGCAGTCATATCACTCAGCTCCTGCAAACCGTCCATTTTTTTAATTAATCTTATTCAGTATTTTGGGCAGCAATCGTTGTGTGTCAGTTAGTTACTAAATGCATGGGGCATGCTGCCCTGTTTCTTTTCTTAGCATCCAAACCTAATCTACGCGCAAAGTGTACTTCTATGGTTACTAACCATCGGCAAACAGATAAGAAGAAATACTACTCTCACTGGTAGACTAACCTTGATAGAAATGTTGCCTTTATGCTTTTTCAATATGTCCAGGAGAACACGAGTCCAGTATCCTCGGTAGCTTAGCATACCTAGGTCAGAAAGGGGTCTTTCTGGAGTTCCAACTTTACCTTCTTTCTTCGAAAGTTCATATGCTGCACAAAGTCAAAGGAACACATTATTTGCAAAGTATTCTACATACTGAAACCAATTGGCAACCTAACGTACTTTTAATGTACCAACAAGCCCAAAATTCACTCAACAGCCTAAATATAACAGCGAAATTGTTGCCCAATACAACCACCTAGTCCTGAAGCAGTTTTCTTTTTTTTTTTTTTTACAAAAATTAATGACAAATGAAAAAAATGATACAACCTTCCTAGTAAAGAAGTGAACAAACATATTGAGATGTCTGGGACTAATATATAGTCCCTCCGTCCCAATTTGTTGTACCTGATTTCCTGATTGATTCACCCCAGTTTGTTGCTTGGTTCCATTTATGGCAAACATTATGTAGTTTGTAATGTTTCTCTATCATCTACATAAATCTCAACCACATCTTTAATTTATTAATCTTTGTGCCAAGTCTAACCGGGTACTACAAATTGGAATTGAGGGAGTAACATTCTAACATATAATATATACGGTATTTAATCCCCAACAAGTTCCCATAACTGCACACAACCCCAAGACAGCATCATGACTGCCCAAATACTCCCTTCGTCCCAAATTTATCGCACCTTTTCGAACAACGTGCAAAGTCTTACTCTTTTAAAATGACTTTATTTACAAATTGGTATAGAAATAAGTACAAGTTACATATTTAAAAACTACATCAAAAGTTCTACAAAACAAGTGGTGACATGTGTATTTTTTTTCAAATGATCAATGAAAACGCATATGGAAACAAAAGTTATTGGAAGCCTAGTATAGTAAAGAGCATAAATTGGGGACAGAGGGAGTAATATTCAAGGCTATTAACAGATTGTTTGGAGCCAGAGCTAGAAAGGACGCTGCAGGGGAAGCAACAACAATATTTCCATCATCATGCTTGGAACATGAATGATGCTTTCATGACCAGGAAATATTAATAACAAGGCTGAAGAATGGAGAATGCAACAGAAACCCAAGAATTTTTAGTTCTTACAGAATGCAATTAAAAATTTCCCATAGCCTTTTCTCTGATATGGTGGCAGAGTAAGAATACATGCCAAATTATAGGACTCCTCAGAATGCTTTTCCTGAAACATCAAACATAAAATGAGAAAAGGTGAGAGTAAGGCTACAAGCTAACATGTTGGATTTTTCGTAATGCTTTTCCTGAAATTGCATATAAATACGTAATAATAAGTAAACATTTATGTTCTATATCATGACTAGTATAATTCAGCAGGCCTTAAGCATTTCATATTCCACTCACTATTTCATTTCAGTGAGTCAGGCAACGTGATAATGATTATACTGGTGACACTTTTATTCATAACATAAACTGTATCTAGCATTTGTTTTGTCCAAAACTAATATAAGGAGCCACTTGGCTTCAACTCTGAAGAGCTGATTCTACTGAATCTGAAGGTTCTCATACCAGAATTAGTTAAGTGTTGCATTTGTTTTAGATTCTGAAAAGAATATGTTGCTGAATCTGCTTTCTAGAATCTGATTTTCAGAAGTAATCAACTACTTGGTTCTGCTTGATTCTACAAAATCATTTAATTTTGCCAACGTATTCGTTTCAAATGAGTTGAACATAGTTTCTAAGATTCTGTAGCTCCTACAAAAGCATTTGTTGCCAGTTCTGTTCCCAAAACAACTTACTCTGAGAACAGAATCAGCCAAAAAGAGAAACAAAGCCAAATCAGCCTCAGGGCTTCACACAAAAAGAGATGTAAATTCAAAAACTAACATATAACATTCTCGAAAGTCCATGTGTTTGCATTATTCAGCTTAGTGACTAGCTTTACATGTTTAGGAACAAATAAAATAGGACATAAGGATATGTTCTGTCAATTTCCCATTTATGCACTATAACTCAAGATAGTGTTAATTATCAGTGGGGTTCTTTTGAGTTTTGACACAAGCCACTAGTGTCATAATATGACACCGGGTCCATTTAAGGACCCTGCAGATCCATTCAAACCCCAAAGTGGTTCAAACCTCACCGAGGGATTAGAGGAAATAAGAACCACTTCGGAGTCGAATAGAGAACTATATGGCCTCCAAATAGACCGGTGTAATATTATGACACTGCTAGCCAGTGTCAAATCTCAAATTAAAAATAGTAACAACATCCTTCATGCAAGAAAACACGGGATTGCATACACAACCTCATCCATTGAGGTCAGCAACATCAGGATTCTACAGTTCCAGAAACCTGGGTTAGCCTATACCAGCCCTAGCCCAGCAGGGTCTTAATGTCTTAAGTATAGACAGTTTCGCTTCACCAAGACCAGGTCACAAGAAAGAGCTACTATGCATTTGAGAAACTCAATGCCAGACTAAACCAAACGAGTTGGATATGTATCCATAGTTATGAATGGCGAGGGGCGGGCGAGAGGACCTTTTTGTGGCGAGAGGCATGGCGACTGGCGGGCGGTGAAATGGCGAACAATAAAAGTGAATGTATGTATATATATAATGCATGGCATATCATAAAGTGTTGAACAGTATATAATTGTCAAAGGAAAACAAAAACAAGCCGGATCATTTCTACATCTTGTGGAGCCAGTGGAGGACATACCTTCCATTGGGGCTTGGGGGAGAACGGTTATACAATAATAGACAATATAATATATGGAATATATATTAAATCATAATACACAAAAAATAATACAGTGGATGTGAAAATTCTTATTTTCTAAATTGAAAGAATAATACACAATTTGAAAATATAATTAATTATATAAAACACAAATAAAAAAACTAAATAAGAATGATGTGCTAAATTTTTGTGACCTGACGCTGCTGTGCTGACTATTGGAGGGCTGGAGGAGATCCGACCCGTCTGCTGGAACCGGCGACCCCAGAAAAGCGATTGGAGCAGCATCGCAGCTGGGAAGGTGAATCGATGAAAGATTGAAATTTGGAAGAGACAATCCGGAGTGGAAGACTACTATGGCGATTGATAGGGAATACGATCGGCTTACGGTAATGGATCAAATTAATTACAAACGGGGTCAAGCCCAATTAAATTACTACCATTCGATTAAGGGGGAACAGTAAAAAAATTGTCCGGCATAGTCCAGGCGAGAGTTGCGAACGCCATTCGCCATAAGTTGCAGTGCAATTGGCAAACGCCGTTCAACGCCTCCAGCACCTCGCCATTCTCAGCCTATTTAAGGTGCCATACCCGCACCACAGCGCCATGAACGCCATAGGCGAGCATGGCGCTCGCCTTTCATAGCTATGTGTGTATCCGTAAGAAAACAATGTCAGTTCAAATTTCCATTCATGCTGCTTAGGAATTCCGCTGGTCCATGCAATATCCTATATCATATTATCATTAACAAAAACAACAACCTGGACAATAAAATTCCAAAAGTAGGGTCTGTGGGAGTGGAGATACACTCGTACACAAACCTTTACCCTACCTAGAAAGGCTAGAGGGTTATTTTGAAAGACCTTTGGCTCACACACAAAAGACACAGGTTAGTACGTAGTAGAGTTTAACATGTAAAGATAAACCAATTAGAGAGAGACAGAAAGTTCTAAGAATTAAAAAGGGGTACAAAGCAAATACCCCAATATATTTTACCAAACTAATTCTAAAGGTCCAAAGCAGAGAGAGTATCTCCTATATAGGCTTACGCTACATCTTTAATCCTCGACCTCGAGACGCTCCTATCTAGCATCATGTTGTGGACGAACCACACGGCTTGACTAGTCAACTTGAAACTCTTCTTTTGTCTACCTCGCACCCATTCCTCAAACAAGTGTGCCGAAACAACCCCAATCTAGTTTTGCCCATTCTGTCCTCCAGGGTTGCCATTTCCATCCTGTTTTGAATAGCTTTGTTTCGAAGTCTATCCCTCCTCGTATGTCTACAGTATGCACATCCACCTTAGCATCCTCATTTTTGTCACTCATGTCTTCTGCAGATCGGTGTTCTTCATCGACCAACACTGCCATATACAGCATAGGCTCATAGCCTGTCTCAGTTTCACTGACACTTTCTTGTCGCACATGCCTGAAGCAACCCTCCATTTTATCCAGTCCGCTCTGATACGATGGATGGCATCCCAATAAATCTCATCATAATCTTGAAAAATAGACCCAAGGTTACCGTATTCTATCCGTTTTGGGGATGAATTGCAGATCAATTTAAGAGTGTTTCTGGGGTTGGTAAATGGTTTGCTGAGATCCAAGCTTCCAGAGCTACACCAGGAACATTTAAATATCTTGATGATTATCACGAGCAACAAGGATGGATCATTATCTACTAAACGCTGGGGGGAATAAATGTGATGAAGGTGATGAGCAAATTGAGAATCCCAAATGGTCCTCAATCAAGGTTGTATTTTTCTTGTTGCTGGGGACTGCCACTGCTGCTGCTTTTGCCAATCCCCTTGTAGATGCAGTCGATAATTACTCTAGTGCCACACAGATCCCGACTTTCTTCATCTCATTCATTGCCCTGCTGTTGGCAACGAATTTGAGTGAGGCTGTGTCAGCAATCATCTTTGCCAGCAGAAAAAAACTTAGTTCTGCATCATTAACATTTCCTGAGGTCTGTTTAGTTTTCTTTGTTGCTCTTGTTATGGTCCATTTGGAATCCGGAAAATGCTAAGGAAAGAATATACTAAAATTTGAGGTGGAATTCCGAAGGAAAGAAAATTTGGAGAAAAATAAAATAGAAAAAGTTCAAACTCAATAAAATGCTGTTTGGTAAGGTATAAAATGGCTGAAGTTGTTGTCACTGTTAAAGCAGTGGATGAATGTTGAATTGGCTAGCTGACTAAATTATGTAAAATATTTGTTTTGGAATTTTTTTAAATAAAATAAAGAAAAAAATCTTCAAATGGAAGTTGGAGTGTCATTATTATAAATTCTAGCAATTTCACCTTAGTAGAGAAATTTCTACTCTGCAGCTCTGCTTTTTAAAAATGTTATTGTACAAGTGATTCAGCTTACATAATAAAATGAAGTGGTGTTTGGTAAAAAATGTGTGCATAAGCAGATAAATATACTTATGTAAGAAGGCCCTAAATCATTTTTAAATATCTATTCTAACTAATTTTATTTATATATCTCTATTTATATAAAGAGATATGAGCGTATGGAGAGCTAGGATTAGATTAGTTAGGTAGGTAGTTTTATGTACTTGTTGTGTGCTTAGTGTGCCTTGTATGCTTGGTGCAATTTGTTCTTTAACATTAGTTTGTTCTTTACCTCTGGGTGCTTAGTGTTTTATCTGTGCTTACTCTGCTTTATAAATCTTTTGTGATCTTTTTATCCGTGCAGCTTAGGCCAGAGGTCTCTTGAAAACAGCCTCTGTAATTTCGAGTAGGGGCAAGGTCTGTGTGTACACACCCTCCCCAGACCCTGCTTTTGTGTGATCCGACTAGGTTGTTGTTTTATACCGATAAAAATCTATTCGATGTCTCAATATTAGTCGTACTATTGTATAAAACCTTTAGACAATGAAACAATGGAAGTTCATATATCATTTCATCCACATCAAGGACTTAATGTGCCACATTGTGTCCAAATTTTGATGGTAGTCAAGAAACCCTAACATACCACAAAAGCTCCCCTAAGGAATTGTGGGAGGCCAAAAATAGAATGGTTAGCTAAGCAAGGAGCAAATGTTTAGCTAGGGTATAACTCTACGACTCAAAGTGTCATTTTCCCTATAGATAAAAAGGACTTAAAAGGGCATGTAAGCAAACACAAGAAGCCAAGGTTCTACATAACATTAAATGGCCTCAAGTGGTACAACTAAGGTCTAGCCATAGTTATCGATGGCGCAAATGGCGCGCACCATAGATGCGCCTTTGGCGATCTGCAGCCGAAACGCCATAAATCGGGCAGTGGCGGTCGATTGTCTTGTGGCAGCGCCAAATCGCCACGCCATCGCCATTCTTACGCCATTTTTTAAATTTAACCCGACCCAAATTCAATAAATTAGGCCCAATAAAGAAATTAAACCATTAATTACTAGTCTCCAGCCCTTTAATCTTCCCAATCGATTCCCAATCGACGCGCAAAACCGGCAGGCCTCGATTCCCAATCGTCTTCTTCTTCGTCTCGTCTTCTTCTTCTTCTGGTCGCGACCCACTCCTCGTGCGACTCACAGATTGACGAAGCAGTATCGGGTAATCCATCAGTATACTTCTTTTTTTCTTTTTCTTGAAAGCTTTTCTTCCTTTTTCTGTTTTAAATCATTAGTACTGTGTTGGCAATGTTTAATATATTTTTATTCAATTTGTTCTGCCATAAATTTTTTTCTGATATAATTTTTTTGCCATTACTTTTTTTCCTATCATAATTTTCTATCCTGACAGGTTCACATAATTTTTCTGCCATAATTTTTTGTCTTAATTTTTTTCTAGCATAATACATCTTAAAGAATGTCTGTCTCTCTGGCTTGGGAGCACTGCACGAAGCTCAAACCAAACTCCAACAATGATTTGGTGTGCAAATTTTGTGGCCACATAAGTAGAGGTGGGATTACAAGATTCAAACAACATCTCATAGGAGGGCATCGTAACACCAAGAAATGTCCTGTAGTTTCGGAAGAGTTGAAGGCAAGGCTCCGAGACTTGGTTTTGAAAGAGGCAAATTCCAAAGGAATGAACGTGGTAGAAAATACCTTTCGGAGCACATATGCAACAGGGAAAGAAGCCGAATAAATAATATTGGATGATGATGAACTCTTTGGAGAGGGTGCTTCTGAGAAAGATGTGGGCGGAGGCAGCGGCCCAATGGACAAGTTTGTTTATCCGACTAAGAAACGTAAAGTATCCGTGGTGCAAACAACAATTCCGTCCAAAATGAAAAGCAAAGAAAGAGAGGAACTTGCTCAAAGCTTATCTTTATGGATGTATCGAAATTGCATCTCATGTAATGTGGTTCGGGATCCATTGTTCAAAGAAATGCTCGAAAAGATTGGCAGGTTTGGGGCTGGATTTAAGGCACCCACTTATCACGAGGTCAGAGAAAAATTTTTGCTGAAAGAAGTAAAGAAAACAGATGATTTGATCAAGGAACACAAGAAAGTATGGGCAATGGATGGGTGTAGCATCATGTCTGATGGTTGGACCGATAAAAGGCATCGTACTCTTGTGAATTTCTGCGTCAATAAAGGCACTGTTTTTATGAGAGCAATAGATGCTTCTTCTTATAAAAAGACTGGTGCTGCAATTTTCAAGCTGTTTGATCAATGGATTCGAAAAATTGGCCCTTACAATGTGGTTCAAATTGTCACAGACAATGCAAAAAATTATGGACTCGCAAAGACGATGATGGAGCAACGGTACCCCCATATATTTGCAACTGCATGTGCTACTCATTGTCTTAATCTTATTTTGGAAGATTTTTCAAAGAAGATGCCAATTGTTCAGAGAACAGTTAAGACAGCGCAGAGCATCACTACCTATATTTACAACCACACTCTTTTGGTAGATGTGATGAAGGAATTCACTGATGGAAGAGATTTAGTGAGGCCTGGTGCAACAAGATTTGCTACAAATTTCTTAACCTTGCAATGCCTCCTTACTCAAAAGCATGCACTCAGAACAATGTTTGCTTCCCCTAAATGGTATGAAACTGATTTTGCAAAGACGAATGAAGGCAAAATATGTTCTGAAACAATCTACCGGCAATCTTTTTGGAAGAATGTGGCTTTTGTTATGAAAATTTCTTTGCCCATAGTGAAGGTTTTAAGAATTGTGGATGGAGATGTGCCCGCCATGGGGTTTATTTATGAAGCAATGGAGAGGGCAAAAATAGGCATAAAAAATACCCTCGGTGGGCAAGAAAAAAAGTACCTGCCCATTTGGAAGATAATTGATAAGCGTTGGGATGACAACCTACATTCTCCATTACATGCTGCAGGATACTATTTAAATCCTCAATTGTTCTATCCAAATGCACGACAAATTCTTGCAGATGCAGAAGTATGTGACGGATTCACAAAATGTGTGGAGAAAATACTGCCTCCTGACATTGTAGGGAGTTTGCAGTTCTCTAATGAGATATTGAACTACACAAATGCAAGGGGTAGTTTTCAAACAAATATGGCAATCAACACTAGGGATAAGCAATCACCTGGTACGCAATCAACATTTTTATTTTTTGGGCATTTTAATTAAAATTTAAATGAACTCGCAAAGGCAATTTTGTTGTATTGTAGTTGATTGGTGGCTTGCAAACGGCTCATCCTCTCCCACTTTGCAACAATTTGCCGTGCGTATCCTTAGTTTAACGTGCAGTGTTCTGGATGTGAACGGAACTGGAGTACCTTTGAAAATGTGAGTTTTTGACCATGCGTTTTAAATTACTTGTTTTTATACCTAATTAACCTATATATATATATATATATATATATATATATATATATATATTACCAAAACTATAATTTTAATTTTTTATGCCTAGGTTCAAACAAAGAAGCGAACAAAGTTATTGCCTAAAAAAATGAATGATTTGGTGTATGTTCGACAAAATCAGCGTCTTCAAGATCCTGCTTTTAAGAAAATGAAGATATCATTAGATGATCTTGAGGATTGTAATGAATGGATTGATATAGCAGCAGAGGAAAATGAAGTTCAGAATTGGGACGTTGTTGAAGAAGCACTTGGTTTAAATGAGCCTGTTGGTCGCCAAACACGAGCATCTACAAGTAATCCAGTGGTTCAAGAAGTTGATGAAGATGATATTGAATATCTTACTATTGAAGACCCATCTGATTGTGAAATCAATGAAGAAGACGTACCTTTATTATCGGATTCAGACAAAGATGACGATCAGGAATGCGATGATTAGATACTTATATCATAAATTGCGAGACTAAGTTTTCACTTTTAATTTTTGAATTATTTTTAAGTTTTGATTAAGTTGTGTTGTTTTACTATTGGCACCATGGGCCCTTAGTGTTTTGGATTTGGAATGACTTTTCATTTGTGTTTTACTACTTCAATTTTTAGATCAAGTAATCTATTGTTTTTTATAGAATATATTCCTTATACATGTGCAAATATTAGTAAATTAATATTCTGACTAGTGTCTTGTGGCAACGCCATATATGCGCCATCGCCATGCGATATTGGCCCATCGCCATCGCCATGCGATATTGGCCCATCGCCATGAATGTCGCCATGCGCCATGACAACTATGGGTCTAGCAATAAGCATATACTACCTACATCCCTGATTATTTGTCCAGTTTTGACTTGTTTATAATAGATATATATAAATAGAACTATACGCTCATATAACTTATCCTTTTATTTACCCCTTTATTCCACAGTGGTCAAAGTTTGTCAATTTTGACTACAAAAAGTCAAAAGAGGACAAATACTTAGCGACATAGGTACTACAAATTTAAAAAGATAGGAAGCAGTCAAGGATGGTCTAGCACCTAGGGCAAAGCTAGGAAGGGATTTTAAGAACACCAAAGAAAAAAACAGTGATACCTTTGAGAAGAGTAGATCTTCAGGAAATGAGTAGTTACCTTTGAAAAATAGCCCACCATATGGCACCCACGATCATCACATTCACAAAGTACGTAAAACAGGAAGAGATCAACATCATAGTAGAGGGTCTTGTGGTCAAGAAATAACTTGGCCAGATAGCAAAGATTCTGTCCATAAACTTTATTCTTTTTTCCATCAACCTATTGAGGTCATTCCATGTCAGAACATTAGTACAACACATAATAAACTCCTACAAATCCTTAAGACAAAGTGAGTAATAAATGCATAAAATCAGGCATGTTAAAGTACTTTACAACATATGTAAGGGAAAACTGCATGCCCAAAAATAAACGGAAATGACAAAAAGATGCAAGAAACAACAGAATAAGGAAAGTTGCCCATATATGTAAAACACTAAAACTGACTCTCATAGTTAAAGAAAATTAGTTCTAGCACAACTAAAAGCACTAAGTATGAAAACAAACCTCAAACATTGATAGGGTACCACTTCGATAAATCTCATCTCCAGGAGGGTGCTTCAGATCACATTTTCTCTACATAACAAACAAATGAAGGTCAATTCACTATATGCTCATTTGGTAACCAATTACATTACTGAAGAAAAATTACAAAAATGGCTAGAGAATGTGTATTGCTTTTAACACTGCAATCTATCATATTAAATTGTGTTAGTCATCCATAATAATATAGGATACGTCTAGGACTCTATTCAGTATTTCGAGTGCATATCTAACACCACTACAGAAACAGATCAACATGGGCTCCTAAGACGGTATAGCAAATTTTAAATTACAGCTATTTTATTATATGGATCAGGATGGTGGACTATCAAATAGATTGTATGATGACAAATATAGCAGAGATGCATGTTAGGATAGATATGTGGTAAGACTACAGAATATATAGCTCGGAAAGAAAATAATCACATGAACATAGCTGTGGGATGTGGCAGCTATTGGTGAAGGTTAGTCCAAACTGACTACATAGGTTTTGGCATGTTTAGAGTTGAAAGGAGAGTGCGTGAATACTGATAGAGGAGAACTGGAATACTGGAGATCTGAATAGGGGGAGATGAAAATATGGTTTGATGACTTTGGCATCTCATCTCACATTCATGTAGCCAACTCTAGTGATTTGGAATTATGCTCTATAGTCTATATTATTGTTCTATTTCGTATTTACTACATAAAATTCAATCAATAATAAGAAACAACTATCAAGCATACTTTCCACATCAATAGATCAATTTGACTCACACAAGAAACACATAGCAAGTTGTGTGTTGACAATCTTAAATTAGATGCTTAACCTGATACATACCCCATAGAATTCAAGGAATAAAGGGGTAAATAAAAGGATAGGTTACATGAAGTTGTCTATTTACTTTGGGAAACTTAATTTAGTGATGAAAAGAAAAGGAGATAACAGATTGGTTGCAAGAAATTTGTAGCCCAGATCAACAACCCTAAGTGATACAACAAGCTTAAAAACTACACACACAGGGTAAAATTAAATCAAATCCCTTCATATGTTTAATATACAGTTAGAAAGGTATTGTTATTGAGGACAATGGAACATGAAATACATCCACAGGTCACAGTAGCATCTGAACAATTTTGGGTGTATAAATTACTATCTTTGAACTTGATAACAATAATAATCTTAACCAACCACAACTAATTACTAGTATTTAATTGCAGTCAAATAGGCATGACCCAATTAGCTCACCATATGCCTCTGAAGTTGTTCTTTTCGCTTCATGAAATTGAGGCAAAATTCACAGAAGAACAGCTTCGTACAATCATTGTATTCTGGGGGGAATGGGGAGAAATACCATGTCTCGATCTCATACCGCCCCAGTTCAATTGTTGCGATATTCTTAACCTTTGTGAACTCTTCATGCTCTCGCAGGCTAGCAGCATCAAGTTCTTCATGACCCTGAAAAAAATGGCAACCTTGCTTAGAAGGCCAAAAGGTTCACCTCTCTTGTACATCAGATACTGTCAAAAGGAAAAAAAAACAGCTAAATGGAGTTTTAGAAGAGTACAAGTAAAAGAACAAGCCAACATCATTTTGGGCCATCAGTTTTGAATAATGTGGTTTATTTATAAATTATAATAATGTACTCCCTCCATCCCGCAATGAAGTTTATGCTACCCTTTTCTCTCTGTTCCAAAATAAGGTTTTCACTTCTTTCATTTTTTATTTTATGAAATGAATATGTAGTTCAAAATATTTCTCTCTTTTAAATATATTCCAACCACCGACTTTCCACTTTTCAACCTTTTTCTTAAACTCTGTGAGGTCAAAGTGTAAAATTCTCCACAGAGGTATTAATTAATATAAGCAACTCAGCTCACTCCAGTAGCATATCACATTCAATGGACACTACGGTTGCATATGCATTGACAGAACAGTTCCTTTTTCAATGGGAATAAGGAACGAATGCAGCAATCACACCAACATCTTGTCTCGGATATGTTACAGAATGAAGTCCATTTCATCTAATATGTTAAATAGATTAATGTGAAATAAGAAGGAATCGAGAATCATAGAAGCCACTATCTCATCAGAATCAGGAAAGCAAGGTGGAGCTCGACCAGGTACAATACAAAAGGAATTGGTCAAGACTCAAGAGCCGTCTCGTGAAGAATGGGAGCATGCAGACAATGCCACAACCATTAAGGAGAACAACTAGATTCAATTATAGCTAAGGTGTTAATCATTAAAAGGGTAATAAAGCCAAGCAAACTGATGGAAAACAAGGAAAGTTAATCACAAGTATTACGGAACATAACACAGACCTTGTTTCTTCTTGTTTATTTTGCTCATTCCACCATCAATAAAAACTTCCTCAATTCTATGTATACCCCTTACTCCCCTATCAATTGGTCTGACCTGCCACTTTCTGTCCTACCCTTACAGAATTCACCATTTCTGTTATTTTTCAAGGAGAAGCAAAATTCAAAATTATTCTCTGCCGAGAAAATCAATAAAAAGATCAATCCTTAACAATATATGGCACACCGAGTTCTATTATTCCACCCTCCACACTGACAGCACTGACACTTCCAACATCGACACCCTCACCAATCAGTGCTACTGTTCATATCAATGCACATAATGCCAATGCTACCACCAGCACATAGTAATAATAATGATATAAATAATAATAATATTATTATTATTATTATTATTATTAACAATATTAATAATATTAGTATTAATAGTAATAATAATATTACGGATATTGATGATGATAAGGTATACCAATAAAAAAAGAGAGGGAAAAAAGTATCCACAAACAAATGGGCCACCTAACAACACTCAACTAAACCTAGCTAATCTAGAAAGTGCTAAACACCATCTATGAGGATCGTTCTAGAAGCATAGGTCGGTCCCTTTTATAAGAAATTGCACTTATTTCAATGAAAAAACACCAAAATACCATTGCTTTAAGCCATATCATTAAGATAAAGGAAAAGAATAAAAAGCTTAATGTCATATCATTATGGATAGAAAGAATTAGCTATGTTTTTTTACTTTAAATACTTCCTTTGTATTTCGCAGTGATGAAGTTGCTAGAAGTGCCTTATAAATAGGACCGGAGGGAGTAAATAGCAATACAAACTCGTAGCCAATGCAGCACTGGGATCGAAAAATCAATTACCTCTACTTGTGTCTCGTCAATTTTACGCTTTTGATGGCGTGTCATTTTTAAGCTCGTCACCTGAAAAGATTCAGTAAGAAACTCCAAAGCGAGACCATGAAAGGAAAGGCAATAAAAAATTACTAACAGGAGGCAGAAACTTTTAAGAAAAATCAGTTGCCGATGCACCAAAAGAAAAAGCATTTCTTTAAATTAGACCATATATCAACTCTATTTATTATCCTTTTTTTTTGCTGGAAAAGATGGGAAGAGATTAAAGTTAAAGGCTATTGGAAACTGTAACAAAGAAGAAATTCCAAAGATCACCTTGTCCTCCACCTTCTCATCCACAACTGTCTCCACGGAATCAAGATTAAGCTGCTCAAGCTTAACCCATTCATCGAGTCTCCTATTGACTGCAATGATGAAAGGACAACTGAGATTCAAAAACATGCAGAGCATTAATTTTTAGGATAATACAGGTTTATAATGAAAAGGTTAGTAAATGATCTTGCAAGTTTGTAACTTATCAACCTGTATATGGGAAAAAGTATCAAATCAACATTATCAACACGATCGTTCCTCTAAACAAAATTTGAGACAGAATGCGAGAAATTGTATCCTAAGTACATTAGTATTCCGGTATGACAGTAACAATGTATCAAGAATATTTATATATTCCTAAATTAACATCATTTCCCATTCCAGACCCCTGAGGTACTGTTTGGTTCACACATTGGGCTAGGCGCAAAATGATGAATAAGCATATTATATTATTTGGGGCATTCTCAATTTTGTAAAGATAACTAATTGATTAGAGAACAAAAAAATGAGTCCATAACAGCCATTTGGAGCCTTAGAGTTTTACCTGGAATAAACTTTTCCCTCTAACTCTAACTAATTGCATCCTAAAAAACACTAGAAGTGTCCTTTTTTTCAAAATGAAAATCAAATCTTACCAAACTACATAAAGAACAACAAAAGTTTGGAGGCAAAAGCATCCACCTTTCTAGAACATAGTCACATAAATCGCGGTACGTTTCGGTACGGGTACGAAATTCGCTAGAGGTAACGAATTCGGTAAGAAGGGGGGTAGGTTCATTTTGGTACGAAGCGGTACGAAGTGGTACGGTGTACCATGTATTCGGTTCGGCGTACCAAAAGTCAAAACATAAGTAAACAAAAATAGATAAAAATAAGTATAATATTTAATTGTGAATTGAATTTTAAATTAAATATTAAATTATGGAAAGAGAAATATTTAATTGGGAAAGTGGAACATGCCTCGGAAGTGGAACATACTGAATTTACGAAGACTTGGGAAAGAGAAATCGTCGAAAAGGGAAAGAGGCAAACAGGGAAGAGGAAGTCGACGTTGCTTTGCTGGGAAGAGGAAGTCGAGGAAGTCGCCACTAGTACGCTGTACCGCCGGCGATGGGTGCGACGTACCTAGGTATTTGGATCGTCGTACCATCGCGATTGGGATCGCCGTACCATCGCGATTGGGAGCGCCGTACCATTGCGATTTGGATCGCCGTACCGGTTGCGATCAGATCGCAAGCGACTTGCGATTGGGTACGAATCGTACCAATACGGAAGTCGCGGCTCTGGGAGCGAATTCTGTGACTATGTTCTAGAATATTTAGGTGTAAGCCCCATATGTGGATAAGCCTCATGAGAAGTATTCCTCAGGGTGTAAGTCACACCACGGTGACTCAGTGAGGCATTAGCCGTGCATGGATACGCAGAATCCTCACATCCATTTTCTAGCAATTAAACTTAAGATAAGCCTCAAGGCATAAGTGTTAATAGCAATGTTCAAAATTGCATGGCTGAAACCCACCTTATGGTGCGACTCAACAAATTTTTGAATATTTAGTATTTACGCCTCAATACTTTTTGTGATATGTGCCATCGTCATCAAAGCGCCTTCTTCTTTATCACAGATACACATGCCTCCAGGCTTATGACCTAAGATGGACGTGAGACATACGCCTCTTGTTTTCATAAATTTATTTACATTACGGGCTAATTTAGTCATAAAAGTTGAACTATGGATCGACCATAAGCTCACTACAAACCTAATCAATGCGTGTAATTTTTCCATTCTGATGATCACTTCCAGGATTTGCTGTGACGTCTTCTTTTGCACATCATCTTCTTTAACGATTTTCCATATTTTTGTGCAGGTGGAGCCGGGGGTCAATTGGAAACAGCCTCCCTACTCCCGAGTAGGGGCAAGGTCTGCGTACGCACACCCTCCCCAGACCCTACATACATACATACATACATTACATACATACATACATTACATACATCCATGCATGCATGCATGGGCATACATACATACACATCACACACACATCACACACACGTACGTACGTACGTACGTACGTACGTACGTACGTACGTACCTACCTACCTACCTACCTACCTACCTACCTACCTACCTACCTACCTACCTACCTACCTACCTACCTACCTACCTACCTACCTAC